CCTTCTTTAATCCATTTTCGTTCTGAAATACTCTTTGTTGAATTCTAATCAACTTATCTTCAACTTATATAGATTTATACTCTTAGGGAAGGACTTGATATAGGTAAGACTCACGTACACATAAGAACTTTTTCTATACGTATGAACCTACACCGATTTGCGTTTAGTTCTTAAAAATTTGGTACTCAAGTATGGTGGCGCCTATGTCAGCTACACTTTTTCGGCCAAACCAGCGGTCCATGTATAGTCAAAGGGTAAACATAGGCTACTAGGGCTTTTTATTAACCTTTCGTTCCCAGCGCCGGATTTAGCCGGCATCCGCTTGACGCCCCGTGTGTACCAGTGCCGGATTTAGCCGGCATCCATTTGACGTTCCTTATATTGCATTGTTATTGAATTGATTCCTCTTAGAGTGCAATCAATTTTGTTATTGAATGCGCCTTCAGTCAAAAACAATTTTTGGAAGTGAAGTGCGTATTTGGAAACTGAAATAAAAAAGTATAATAAGAAATTCGCGGCGAATTTCCGGTTCAGTAGCGTCACTTCGGCGGAACGGACTGCGGTAAGGAAAGGGTTAAGATATGATCAAAATTAACTTTTATTTAAAACAATTAACTTTTATATTCAAACGGAACAATTAACTTTTCGACTTACTTCGAGAGAGAGCGGCGCGACTTGGTAACATTCGGCATCTTCCCTTACGCACAGTATACCTATATATACCTGAGTTCCCGAGAGTTTAGGAGCGTTTCGCGCAGCTTGGAAGTGGTGGGAGTCGCATCGAACTCCCTCCACATGGCTCAGTCTACACCAGGCATGGCCAAGTACACGTGCCCCACTGTAGCTGTTCTCCCTACTTCGTGCAGTAGGCCCAGGAAGCCCTCACATTATTTCAGTATGTTACGTGCGTGCATCACACACACTATTAACCGTTCGGACTGCGTGCCCCACTCCGGCTCCCGGGCAAGGTCGTGTCGCGCGGCGACAACTTTGGCCATGCGGCATGGCCCATGCCTGGTCTACACGGTAAAGCATTGAGATGCGCAGAACGATCAAAAACTGAACTGTGCCCGCTCCTAGATTCTCGGGAACTCAGGTATAGATGGAAAGGAAACATGCAAACGACTCGTTACTTGTATGAAGGATGTTGCCAAATCTCAGCGACTTGCACAGGAGGTTTATTTTTACACTTCTGTGCCGCTTGAAGAGCCCAGTGGTAAACGACAACCTGTTTAAGCAATGGAAATGCGTGGTTTCGAGTTATGTTTAGGTTGAGCACAACTAGACCCGGAGGACGTCTTTATTTTCACAATGAGTGTATGCATTTTATAGGAAGTCGTTATTTCTGAATTTCCAATATGTAGAGTAATTATTGTAATACTTCAATAATGTCTGAAAAATTTGCTGAAAGCTTCCGCACTCATGAGGAGCCCGTCAACTGCCTCCAACAGGCGCCCTCGCCAAGGATTAAGGATAAGGATCAATGCTAAACAACTGATAAACGAACAAGGAGAATTCATAATAGATACTGGTTCAGTCCTGAACCTTATAGAAATGCGTGCCCTTAGTCCAGAAGCACCTCTTCTTACAATCCGTCCGATCACGATCGAAAGCCTCGAAGGAAAAATTATTACGAACAAGGCAACATATATAATGGTAAATGATAGCGAAACGTTCTTCCACATCATTGGCACCGGAAGCTTGCCGGAAGGAGTTTCTGGTTTAATAGGCAGCCTGTTCCTAGCTCAGGAAAAAGGTGAATTATCTTTCCACCATAAGACGTTGACGAAACAAAGGAACTCCATAGATCCAATCCGATTCTCGAACGTGGACAAGATCCGCAACTCAGCAAATTCACAAGGCCTAGTTTATACCGCTCGGATTCCTAATACACATAACGAAAATTCTTTACATAATGAAATCGACTACGACGACGAGTGCAATTTAAACGAGCACGAGGACTCGCAACTAAGCGAACTAGACATTCCCGAAAGACCGCATACCCCACTAACTGAAGAACAGCTGTTAGATTTAGAAGAGGAAGACGTGTGCGACTTGGAAATTGAAAACCGCGACCCAGAGGAAAGATTGGATCTTATTATGAATGCTCTGAAATTAAAGCACCTTGATGAACCATCGAAAGACCTAGTAAAGGAAATCGTAGGAATGTATGCCGACTGTTTTTTCATCCCCGGAGAGCCCTTAGGAAAAACCAACGCAATCCAGCACACCATAACCGTCACCGACAACAATCCCGTGTTCGTGAGGCAGTACCCATTCGTACAATTATCGGATCGTGCCAAAGAAACCGGATTCTTAAGGCAACAAACGCTGGCGAATGGTGGTAGATTACAGAAAATTAAACGCAATCACCAAGGATGATAAATTTCCGATTCCTCGTATCTCGCAAATTTTGGATCGATGAGGCGGAGCAAAATTCTTTACAGTTTTCGATTTGGCAAACGGCTTTCACCAAATCCCCATGGCGCCAGAGGATACAGAGAAGACTGCATTCACCACGCCTGAAGGACACTTCGAATACACTCGAATGCCCTTCGGACTGAAAAATACACCTGCTACTTTTCAGAAATTAATGCAGAAAATCCTATTCAAACTAATCGGAAAAATTTTATATGTTTATTTGGACGACGTCGTAATTTTTGCAAACACACTGGAAGAAATCAAAGAACGCCTGCAAACATTCTTAGACGTAATTAGAAAACACCGTTTGACGTTACAAACCGATAAGGCCGAATTTCTGAAATCTGAAGTAACATATTTAGGACACATCATAACGGCAAATGGAGTTAGACCGAATCCGAAGAAGATTAAGGTAGTCGCTGAATTCCCAACTCCTAAAACAAAGAAAAATATTAAACAATTCCTAGGACTTGTCAACTATTATCGGTTATCATGTCAAATATTATCGATTTATCCCGGACTTGGCAAAACGGGCAAAACCTTTAACCAGTGTGACCAGTCCTAAGAAACCCTTTATCTGGACCGAAGAGCAACAGAAGAGCTTCAAGGAACTTAGACATGCTCTATGCAACGAGCCCGTCTTAAGGTATCCCGATTTCAACGAGCCGTTCATTATCACGACTGATG